GTTATTGGGGTTTATTCCATTACACAGGTTTTCTTTTTCTTTTTCTAACACTGGGTTTCAGCTGACATGCTCGGGGCAAAATGCCCCAGAGATTATTGGAGTCCCCATTGGATAGCTCAGGGGGTCTGTAGGAGAGCCCGGCACACAGCCGAGAGAGTTTTCTGTCTGACGAAATGTTTCTTGGAGGCACCACCGAATACGTTTTGGTGGTATTAATGTGGATTTTACAGTCACGCCTCATTGTCTTCTTCAGATTATGCTGCACTGGTAGCCGACCTTTGCCTGAAAGTGCTTTCCAAATCTTTGCATGTTTGCCATCTGAAGAGACCGCAATTGGGAAAACATTTATCTTCAAATCCAGCAAGTCCTGGCTTCTTTATATGCAACAGTTTTTCTTTAGTTTTTCTCTCTTTCCCCCACCCACCGCCTCCTTTTACTATAAACAAAACGATGTCAGAACTCTCTGTCTGCAAATGCCGTTAGCTAGATTACAAAGTTCTCAAGTGTAGCTTCCTCCTTCCCGTACTATCACAGTGCTGCTAAATTTCCCATTGCAGAGTATGTGTGTGTGTGTGTGTGTGGTCTTCTCTCATTGCCAATGACATTCTTTCCTCACCTTCCTTCGAGCCATTACTGACAAGCTCCTCCAGAGCCACCAGGCTCCCACTAACTAACATCCCTTCGAGACCCCTGTAACGTGCTGGGACATCCCAGCCCCCAAGTCACTGCCACCTTTTTAGATTTATGTTACAATCCTCTCTCAGTGCCAGATTCATTACTAGTTATTTATTATTGCATGACAAATCACTCCAAAACGTAATGGCTTAAAACCCATGATTTATCTTCTTCTACGGGCCTCTCCCGAAGACTGTGCGGGCACGGTGGCTGGCTTTTCAGGGTTAGCAGTCTCAGAGACCAAGCTGGCAACCAGCCTTGGAAGTCACGCACAGCTACCACTTGCACGGTTTCCCGCTGACCGCAGAGGTCAGCCCTCATTCAGTGTGGAAGGACACTACGAAAGAGAGTGAATTAATGGAGTCCCTCTTGGACATGTTAAAGATAATGCAAGGAGAGGGGAAAAACTCTAAATTTTTAATAGCTATGTAGTAGTTTGTCCTATAATTATCTTCTAGAATGTATCCCATGTAGAAATATGAAAAGATTTGACAGTTCAAACTCCGGAATTGATTAGGGCCAAAGAGAACATTGTTAGGGGTGACTAAGGAAGTCTTGTTTTATGAACTCAATTATCCCCAATCCAGTCAGCAGTGATCTGTGCGTTTTGCAGCTGCTTTGCTTCAAAAAAGGCCTTTTTCTCACAAATAGATCTACTCAGTTTGGAATATTTCAAAGCTAGTGTGGATATTTAGAGAGTCCCAAATATTCAAAAACCAGAACCAAATTGTTGTCAAGAATAGTCATTGAAGTTACAGCTGCATGTTTTCTCTCTGCTAAGTTTAGACATTAACTCCTTTCAATATTATCTTGATTAAACAGATTTAAAATCATATGTATGCGAACAAGTAGTCTAAATAGATGACTTCTCTAAGATCAGCAAATTCCAAGGGGACTAAGTCAATGCAAATGAAGAAAATGTGACTTAGAAAAAATACATAGATGAGCTATATGTTTGACATTGAAATAAAGCCTTATTTTTAAGTCAAGGAATTAATTTAAGTATAATTCTATTTTTACATAATCTGTTCATGAAAAATGATATACTACACTTCTGTGATTAACCTTTAAAGAGAGTTCAAATGATAATTATTAGACTTTAAATATTATAAACCATTAATAAAGGGAGGAAGTTTCTCTTGTCCTAAATTTCTATTACTAGTCAAATAGGATTAAGATATTTTTTAAAAATCACCTAGTGGTGAGTTTTTTTAAAAAAAGTTTTTATTGAAAACTTACTTGACAAATGGCACATATTAACCTCAATCCATTCTGTATAAATTACACATACCCTTAGATTGAAGTAAATGTGTGAATAACTTCAGATTTTTAAGCAGATTAGTGCAGTTTAATTTGCTCTGGTAGGTCAGCTTGTTGTGGGGAACTATGTGAAAAGGAGACGGTTCCCAGGACTTCCTGGGGACACTTAATGGGACAGAGCAGTGTTATTCCCTGTGGCCTCCACATCTCCTGTGCATAATAATTTCCTGTGCATTTTTCTCCTGAAAGGACATAATGGTAATTGATTGGTGGTGCTATTTTAAAGTTATTTTGAAATAATGATTATGCTATTACAGTTGTCCCATTTCCCCCCCTTCACTCCCCTGCACACCCCCTCCCTCCCACATTACCCCCCTTTAGTTCATGTCAATGTGTCATACTTATAAGTTCTTTAGCTTCTACATTTCCCATACTATTCTTACCCTCCCCCTGTCTATTTTCTACCTACCCTCTATGCTACTTATTCTCTGTACCTTTTCCCCCTCTCTCCTCCTCCCACTCCCCTGTTGCTAACCCTCCATGTGATCTCCATTTCTGTGGTTCTGTTCCTGTCCTAGTTGTTTGCTTAGTTTGTTTTTGTTTTAGGTGTGGTTGTTAATAATTATCAGTTATATAATGACAGTTTGCTGTCATTTTACATGTTTTTTATATTCTTTTTCTTAGATAAGTCCCTTTAATATTTCATATAATAATGGCTTGGTGATGATGAACTCCTTTAACTTGACCTTATCTGAGAAGCACTTTATCTGCCCTTCCATTCTAAATGAAAGCTTTGCTTGATAGAGCAATCTGGGATGTAGGTCCTTGTTTTTCATAACTTGGAATACTTCTTTCCAGCCTCTTCTTGCCTGCAAGGTTTCTTTTGAGAAATTAGCTGACAGACTTATGGGAACTCCTTTGTAGGTAACTGTCCCCTTTTCTCTTGCTGCTTTTAAGATTCTCTCCTTATCTCTAATCTTGGGTAATGTAATTATGATGTGCGTTGGTGTGTTCCTCCTTGTGTCCAACTTTTTTGCGACTCTCTGAGCTTCCTGGACTTCCTGAAAGTCTATTTCCTTTGCCAGATTGGGGAAGTTCTCCTTTATTATTTGTTCAAATAACTTTTCCACTTGTTGCTCTTCTTCTTCTCCTTCTGGTACCCCTATAATTTGAATATTGGAATGTTTAAAGATATCCTGGAGGTTCCTAAGCCTCTCCTCATTTTTTTGAATTCTTGTTTCTTCATTCTTTTCTGAAGAAAAGATGTTTCTTCATCATTGGATGTTTCTTCCTTCTGGTCTACTCCATTGATTTGAATCCCAGTTTCCTTCCCATCACTATTGGTTTTCTGCACATTTTCCTTTATTTCACTTAGCATAGCCTTCCTGTTTTCATCAAATTTGCGACCAAATTGAACCAATTCTGTGAGCATCCTGATCACCAGTGTTTTGAACTGTGCATGTGATAGGTTGGCTATCTCTTCACCACTTAGTTGTATGTTTTCTGGAGCTTTGATCTGTTCTTTTGTTTGGGCCATTTTTTTTTTTTGTCTTGACGCACCTGTTGCGTAGTGAGGGGCAGAGCCTTAGGTGTTCACCAGGGCGGGGCGACCCAGTCGCTGTGTGTGGAGCAGGGGTCGGAGAGGGAACAATGGTGCTTGCTCCACTCTCTGCCAGCTTTCAGTCACTTCCCCCGCTTCCCCCAAGCAAACTGGGCCCTTCTGGTGCTGACTCCTGGGTGGGTGGGTTTGTGCACCTTCTAGGACCCTGTGGGTTCTCCAACTCACTCTCCCGTGAGGCTGGGAGTCTCTCCCTGTGTCTCAACCCCCACAGCTATTTTCAGTCAGAGGTTTGGGGCTCTATTTCCCAGCACTGGAACCCAGGTTGTGTGGTCTGTCTCGCTCCCCAGGTTCGCCTGGTTTACCTGCACACAAATGTGGGACCGCCCGGCCCGCCAGCCGCCTGGCCCACCGCACCCCTCCGCGCCCCTCCGCAGTCTGCCGCCTCGCTGGCCCCGCCCCCTGCCGCCGTGCGTGCGCGCCGGTGCCACCGCGGGTTTGGCCGCGACCCTCTCCGTCCTCCCGGGGTCCGACTCTGCCCTGCCTACCGGTCTGGGCGAACATGTCTACTTTAACTCCTTGGTTGTCGGACTTCCATACAGTTCAGTTTTCTGTGTTGGTACTGGTTGTTTTTGTTTCTAAATTGTTGTTGTCTTTGTTTTGGGTGTTCAAGGAAGCACAGTGTGTCTACCTATGCCTCCATCTTGGCCAGAAGTCCTCTGAAATAAAAATTTTAATGTCGGATTTCAAACCTGGTAGATATGTGTGCTATTCCCTAATAGAACCAATAGTATTTACTCTGCTTTTTGGTCTTGTTTTTATTCTCTTTTCATTGTAGTTTCATTTATTATCATTTATGCTGTCTATACCATATTAGGTACCATATAGATGGTAGATATTCAGAGCAGGGTGGCTGACCCTCTTATACCTAAGTTTATGTCTTCATAATATTTGTTAGGATTTTATACATTGAGAAGTCATTTGTAATGCAGAAGTCTCTTTGGATTGAGTCAGACCCTGATCCATAAAATATGATTCATCTTATTTGATAATAATAACTTGAGCTTCTTGACATCTGAGTAATAGAGAATTAAGAAAACAGATGTAATTTTGAAGGTATAAAAGGAAGGCAGTTGGACAGTTGAGAGAGGTCTACATGTTATGTTCCAGTCTCTGTAGACAGGGTCAGGTGCGGAAGTACAGCCGTGGGCTGTTGACGGCGGAGGGAAGAGAGCTGCGACAGAGCGAGGAGGAAGATGCCAAGGAGAACCTATGAGCGATGCTAGATCCCAGAGACAGAGACGCGTCTAGGTTCAGCCCTCACTTCTCTCCCTGAAATCCTATCTCTTGCTCACACTACTTCCTCCTCCTGCATTGCCTGCCACACCAGCAAGGAGCCACAGAGCAGGAGTGCAGACCACGGGCGTGGTCGGGGCGCCTCCCCGAGGAAACGCAGTGAAGCGCACTGTGCACAGGGCTTAACATCCTCCTTTCTGCCCTCCCGCAGGTTTCCCGAACCAGATGAGCAACTCCAGTCACTCCGCCCTTCAGCCCTCGTTCCAAGGGTGCATGCAGCTCATTCACGTGGACGACCAGCTCGTGAACTTATACGAGGTGGCGCAGAGGAGGCCGGGAAGCTTTGCGAACGTCAGCATCGACATGTGCGCCATCATAGACAGGTAGGCGGTGTTTTCATCCTCCTCCAGATTTTCCAAGTTCATGTTTGTGTTGCCGGGCACCCACCTTCCGAGAGGTTGGACGGGAGGAGCCGTCCACCATGTCTGTGGTCCTATATGTGTGATATTAGCGACGATGCTTATATCAGAATATGAATATATATGATGGGACAATCTATGCTGTCCCATTAGTCCAGCTATTTTCAACCTGTGTCATCTCAGGGTGCACATGAACTAATCACCAAAATTCTGCAGTGCACTGGAAAACCTATTTTTGGCTGACCTGACCAAAAATTAGGTATAATTTTGATTCATTCACCCCAGACAGCTGTTGTTATGTTGGCTGTTGTCATTTTTTTATTTGACAGTCCGAAGGAAGAAAGGTCAGTGCCCCTGATGAAATAGTCAGGAATTGCATGTTTTGAAAATTCTCGAGGCTCAGCAGCTGAAAACCGCTGCTTTGGTCCATCATCCTCCCTCAGTGGGTGTGAGCTTCACGCAGGTGGCTTTGCAGGCAACAGCTGAGTTGTGAAGGAACTCAGTTTATTTTTAGGTTTGCCTCCTATGCCCACGAGCAGAGGGGCCCCTTTTCTCCTTGTCTCGGGCACAACTCATCCTTATCGTATTGTCCCCCCTAAAGTCCCCTCCTAACGAAAAGAAAACATTAACAGGAACAAATTTAAAGGACACCGGGACAAAAACTAGGGGGGGGTGGTAATGGGAGGGAAGTGGGGAGGGTTGGGGTGGGTGGGCTGGATTGGGAGTAAAAGGGAGAAAACTGTACTTGAACAATGATTAAAATTTAAAAAAAAGAAAAGAAAACATTAAAATATATTGGTGGGCAGTATGGGTACTTACTGAAGCAGCATATGTAATGCAGTTGAGTCTGCCTACATGTGCTAGCATCTTGCAAACTCCAATCTTTATCTGTTTTTGCAAATCTGGAGAGGAGCTTTTTATAAAAACCGAGTTGACTTCGACTTCTTGCACAGTGGAAAGGCACTGCTTTTGTATGAAATATTGTAACAACAGCACACACTCTACGGTTATCATACTTCTCAAAATGCCTTTCATTCCAACCAGAAAGTGTTTTGTTTTTAGATGTTTTGTTCATAAACAAACTACAACTAACCACGAGTTGAATTTAACTTGATGAATTTAGGGGATTTTAAAAAACCAATATGAAATCTTTTATGAAAGGGCTATCTTATCCTGAAAAATAATTTCATTAATTTTACATTTGGGAAGACGAAAGTTCCATAAGTCTCAATATGTTCCCAACAAAATATACACTGTAAGTCTCTAATAATGTTATTTCACTTATGAGGAAAGCCTTGGAGAAGTCATTCAAAGGTATATAATTAATCCAAAAAGCATGTAAAGTTATCTGTAATGAAATAACTCTGTTCCATATAATCTTAATAAAATAGTATTCATATGTGCGGTAAGTTAGAGTTTATGACAGCTATAGAGTATAAATTTTGAAGCCTTAATATGTTTGTAATAAAACTTGGCATCTAATAGTGCTTATTTCTATTACATATTTGTAAATACTCATCCTAATAGCCCAAACAGTTTATATTTGAACAGAACAGTGAACAATTTTAATAGAAATATACTCCTAATTTTTGAACCGTCAATAATATAATAGCTGTTATTTCTGCCTGATGTAAATGGTAGAAATAATCAGGAAAACTGAGAGATCAAAGTTTTATGATTATATGTTCTGACATTAGATGTTTATGTATACATTTTAATAATTATTTTCCATACAGGAAGATTTTCCTCCTTAGCAATAGTTATACAGCATATGGAGCTATTTTAGTGCCATGTCCATTTTCCATGCCAGTAGCTTTAATAATACAATAATTTCCGTCAGTAATAACCAGGCCATTTCATTCAGCTTTTGTAAAGAGACTAGATTTTATGGCGATGTTGCCGTTTCTCCCCAAACAGCATGTTTCCTGGGCCTGGTGTTTAAATTGTTTGCTACTAAAAAAGTACAGGAGAGAAATTGAAATTTTAATGTCTTACTCCCATGGAAAGAGTAGGAGCTAAATTGGCCCCACAAGAATGAGTGAGATTTTGGTAAATGAAAACCGTGGAATATGGCCTCTGGTGAGAATGTAGCTTGGAGAATGCAGACTTCCGTTTGGGGCAGCTACAAGAATATAGTTGTTGTTGTTTTTGTTTTTACCGAAGAGGGTCAGTGCCATTGTTGACAAGTGTCCTGGAGCTGAGAGAACAAGGAATTTCGTTCCCATGCTCCTGGACGATAGCCCAGAAGAATAGCTTTGGGGAAGCGGCAACCTCTGGCCCATCTCCACAAATTCCACTGGAACCGCTCTGCGGTCCACTTTCTGCTCGTCCCGCTTTCTGCAGGCGATGGCTTCTGTGCGTTAACCACCAGTGTGTGGGACAGCAGAGTCCTTTCTTTACCTAAAGTGGCCCGGGTGGAAATCCCCACCTGTGAAGGGCTGTGCTTTTGTGAATAGGACACAAGACTCTGTTTGCCTCATTCAGACTGTTGGTATCACTGACGATTTCATCTGGGTCTGTCCAGGTGAGGGGACCAGTGGGGTTAGCCCGTCCCCCTATAGTGGTGACTCATTCAGTCACACTTTAATGGCACATCCCTAACCCATGTCTTGTTTGATTCCCACCACCCCCGGAACACAGTTTTGCAACTGCCCGCTCTCTGTCATTTTATTTTTGAACTGCCTCAGTCCTCCCGAGGAAGCCTATGTTGGCTCTTTCTTACTTTTCTCCTTTCACATTTCAGCTCAATGACTTGAAAGCTATTTTTGGGGGGAAAAAGGAATAAATGAGAACAGGGGATAAAAAAAAGTAGAAATGTTACCACAGGCGTGATTTTCATAAAATGTTTGGAGGCAATGGGCGCAGCTGCAGTGATTTGATGAGCAGAATTTAGGGAGATAGTTTGGGGACGATGATTCTAAAGGCGTTTTTCTCGGTGTCATTCGGGGATACCCTGTGACTTCAACTTATTTTTCTCTCTGTGTGTGGAGTGACATGTGGCTCGTTTGTTTCACGGGTTTGTTGTCTGGACACGGCATTGGATCAAGGAAAGAGCAGGCGTGCCAAGCTACAGAAGTATTCATTCAGCAGTATTTTCCGAGCGTACACGTGGTGCAGGCACTGTTCTGGGCTCTTAGCGTATAAATCATTGAACAAAACAAAGATGCTTGTACTTCCGAAGCCCATGTTCTGGAGGAAGGAGGGTAATAGGCCATGAATCAGTAAATAGTGGAGCAAGTTAGAAGAAATGCGCGCTGTGGACAAAGGAGGTAGAGCAAGCGAAGGAGGACTGGCGTTCCAGGAGACCGAGGCATTGGATTGCAGCTTAAACAGGTGTAACCTCGCTGAAAAGGTAATAACAGCTCAAGACCTGAAAGAGGTAACAGAACCGGCCAACTCGGGGAAAGAACGTTACAGAAAAAGGGAATGTCAAGGCCACGAGGCTGCCTGGCAGGACCAGGATCAGCAAGGGGCCAGGGTGGCGAGTCTGGAAGGACGAGGAGCAGAGTCGTGGGAGAGGAGGCCAGAGTTGTCCCTAGGACCTGGTCCTGGGGACCTGTCGTTATTGCAAGGCTGCGGCTTTTACTCCGATGGAACCGGGCGTCACTGCGGGTGTCTCCAGCAGAGCTGGGGTACGCTCTAGCGTGCATTTCACAAAGGCAGCGGGCTGTGGGACGACGAAGGGGAGCCTGTCCCCGTGATCTGGGTGAGAGGTCGTGGTGGCCTCGGGCCAGGGCGCCAGCGCAGGAGGTGTGAGATGCGTGGTCGGTTCTGAATGTACACGCATATAGAAGTTTATATATACTTCTTGCTGGATCAGTTTTGGGGCACGAGGGGAGAGAGGAAATGATGGGGCAAAAGCGACTGGATAGAAGGAGTCACTGTCTCCTCAGATGGGCAGGCTCGTGGTAGAGACTGGTCAGGGTCGAGGGGGAAAAATGACGAATTCAGTGGTGGGCATGAGGTGGCATGTCTGTTGGATGTCTCAGTTGCAATGTCAAGAAGGCAACTGGATGGGAGTATACAACAAGCAGACGTCAGCCGATTTTGCACCCAGATGTGGGTCTGACAGAATTGCCGCGTTCACCTGTGGAGGGCCTGGGTCTCTTCAGCTGCATTTCCCAAACAGCCGCAGAAATGAGGAGGTGAGGAGGGGCGCGGGCAAGAAGCCTCTGGCTCTCCCCCAGCGGTCCCCTGCCCTGAACACAGTAAGAGGCTGCAGGTGACCATTTCTCCTTGAGTCACGACCATCTTTCACCTGCTCTTAGCACCCGCCCATTGCTGCCCCCTTGTGGCAAACATCTGGAGATGGCCTGGATAGCGCCTGTGCTCAGCCCCCTCCTCTCCAACCTCTCTTCAGGTGTGAGAATGTGAGCTGAACCCCTGCAGAACCACTCTTACAACTAAAGTGAGGTTATTCTGGCTCTCTATATCCATCCCAAGACCACCCTCCCAGCCCAGCTGCCAGAGAGGTGTTTCCATTGCCATGGGCAGGGGGAGCCTCGGGATGCAGCCCTGGCTACTGACATAAGCAGATGTCAGCTGCGGTGTTCTTGAGAAAGCTTGCATTGTCCTCCTGCAGAGGAACCACCATAGAACCGTGGGGTACTTCAAAGGGAGTGGGCGGGGGAGGGGGGAGGGAAGAGGGAGAGAGTAAGGGGAGGAGGCTGGGGAGCTGGAGTGAGTCACGGAGAGCCCCGGCAGGTGCTGGTTAGCGTCTGCATCCGGGAGCCCGGCTGCAGCAGACGGTGCAACACGGGAACCCATGTGGAGCCCCGGTCAGGTTCAGTGGCCTGTGGCTCTCACCCAGGACATATGGGATGAGGAAGCTGCTGTTGAAGTTTAATTTTGAGTTTAAGTAGGTGTCATTCTTGCCTCGTTTGGAAAAATGTGTCTGTTTTGTGAATAACAGTAAAGTCTGTCTTGCCAGCTATGACTTCTATATCCATCCTAAGACCGCCCTC